AGAGTCATGCTGATGCCTTGACTCCCCTAGCATCCTGCAATGCCTTTTTGCTGGGGAAACAAACAACAAACCTGTCAAAGACACTGCAGAGTGTGTCTGCACTGTGTGTGTGTGGGGGTGTGTGTGTGTGTGTGGTGTGTGAGATGTAGATACCCTGAGCGTTCAGCCTTCTAGTGTACAGATCGTCAGTGTCCTGACCCTCCTCGCTGGGGTGGGATCATCTTAAAAAGGGACTCTACAAGGCATTTTATGAGCTGCCTAAGCATTTTTAAAAGTGTTGAAGACCAAGTTGTCTATTACTCCACATTAATGTCCAAGAAGTGCTTTCTTGCATGCCAACACCCTCCATGCTGATGAAAGAATAGATTTTTTTTTGTTTGTTTAAATGTTCATCGTGTAATAATTGTTCTTATGATCCTGGTAACAAGATTGTGCTACCTTGCATTTTAAAACAATATACCTATTTCTTTGTAGCAGAGACATGAAACAACATTCTGATTTACAAGGTTTTCCTGTCTCTAATACTGAATTTGTGCCAGACTGAATTTGATAGCTTTTTTTGGGGGGCGGAGAGGGGGAGAAGAGAGGAGGCAGAGAAGTCTAGAGGTGTGACTAGTTCTACAACCTTAAAGTCTAGAATGCCGATTACTTTGTTCCTTTTGCATGCCTATAAGAACACAGAATGTCAGTGTTCTTGTTGCATTCATCAATGCATTACACTCTCCCTTGCCATACACCTGCAAATGCTTTACACAATGTCACATGTATTTGTGATTATTTTTTAAATGCATGAGTCTTTTGACAAATGCTGAGCAGTTAATCCATCACTTGAATTACATTTGACTGCTCCTTGAAATCCAAACTTTGCACCATGACAGAGGGAGCTCATTTCAGAAGTGTGGACTGTCTTCTAAGAATACCTTACCATTAATCATAAATACGTGGAGATTTCAGCACAGGACTACTTGTTTTTAAGTTACAGAGTAATAGAGCTACCCCTCTGAGTGAGTATACACACACACACACTTACTCACACTCACACGCTCTCTCTTATAGTATATGCTACTTACAGCTTGCCCAGTTAGGAAAGGCTTGTACAAAATGCACTTTTACTTTGGACTACCCTTGAAAGGTGCTCTCAAACTTGAGTTGATGCAGAGTGTAATTTCTAGGCTAGATTACAAAGACCTAAATTACTGTAGTAAGGTCTGGGACACAGAGAGCCTCTAGGCTTGCTATTGGGGGAGAAAAGTATTAGATAGGAATTTGAGTAATGATGGTTTCAAGGTTGCAAATTGCTGGAAAGGGTTACATTGCTTAAGTGTCCATGTGGCTTACCTGACAAGTCTGTTTCCACCTGAGTAGCACCATCTAACAGGTGCCGCATTGCAGAATGTGCATTGTAGCAGAACATTATTGATAGGGTTTTTAGGTTTCTTTTTAATTTTGTGTGACTCTAAGGATTTTTAAAATAGAATTACATTGTACTCCTCCATACTCCAGATGATGTGTGGATAGTAGTTAGATTTGTTGTGATAGCCAGTAGCAGCTACAATGAACAGATCTTCTCTTAACTAGAAAGTAAGCTGGGAAGCTGTTTTTCTTCATCTGAACAATCTTTGATCTAGTCATTCATAATTGTTTCTTTTTCTCCATTTTTAGTAAGTAATATTTTTTGTCTTGGGATACTTAGTTTTCTATGTTTAAGGTTGATTTCTCCCTCCCCCCATGAATAAATAAAATTTCTGTAAGACCATGGAGCCCAAGTTTCAAGAATGTAAGTGCTAACTCCTTTGTTCTAAATTATAGTTTGGGATTGTTTTGTAGAATTTATCTAAACTATGAACATATTAATATACAAAAGGGCATGATATTTCATTAATAAAGTAAGTTCGAACTTTTGATTAAGGGATTTAGTATCCGTTTAAAAATGTGATAAACATAATGTAGCTTCTTAAAAGAATTGTCTGAACTTCATTTTTATGCTGCTTTTAACTAAGTCTGTTTAGAAACAGTTAAAATTGCACAAATCCCTTATGTGGCTGTAGTTAAATGTTACATGTTGTAAAAGGTACTTATACAAGTATAGCAAGGTTTATCTGTATCCATGTGCTTATAGCAAGCTATATTGGTATAAAGGTGCTTATACCAGTATAACTTCATCCATATGAGGTGTTTATCTAAAAGTGCAAAGACATTAGTCAGACTAGGAGCAGCTGTAGCAACCGCCAAAGCAGGGACCTTTCAGACATGCAGAGAACGTCCTACAATTTTAACTAGACCTTCTTTGCTCTGTGCTGACTGGATGTTTTTGCTACCATTCTCCCTTGATTGCATCACCTCAGCTTACTCTGCACCTGCCTCTTACACTTTCCACCTTCCCTGCCTTCCTCACCCCACTACCCTTTAATGTTTCTTTTCCCTTCACTTTTATTTTCATTTAGCTGATCCAGTCTAACACTCTTCCCCCAATTAAAATAAAATGTGCAACTAATGACACTTGCTGCCATCACATTGTTCATTCTACTTCAATTGTAGACTCTTTTTCCACACTCGTTTGTCAACTTAGACTATAAGCTTTTTGGAGCAGGGCTGTCTTACTATGTTTATACAATGCCTAGCACGGTGAGGGTCCCCTTCTTTGCTGGCCCTTATGCACTACTGTAGTAAACATACTTTCACCTTTGGTTCTGAGAGCTGGTGTGATGCCCTGGTAAGAGACTGTCCAGTTGCAGGTGAGGTTCTGTGTGCTGCCAGCACTCTGGATGGCACAGCCACATATGTTTGCTTCAATTCTGGTGCTCCAGTGGCTGGGTAGCAGATGACTACACTCCCATCCCATGCTGCATTTGAAGTGAAAAAGACACTGTAGTAGTCTTTCTGCTTTTGATCTCTTTGATGGTACCCCTTACAGTCCCTAAAACGCTTTGCCTTTTCTACCTCTTCTCACTTAAATCTATCCAGAAATTTTAGTTCTGCTTGGTTTAGAGCAGTGATCTCAACCTTTTTAAGCACAAAAAGATCACTTTTTTACTTTAAATGCAATCCAGGATCTTCCTCAAACCCAAATACTCTTGCTCTACCTCCTTTTTGCCCCTTCTCCAAGGCCCTGCCCCTGCTCACTCCATCCTCTCTTCCTCCCCATCCTTCCTCCCTTTGATCAGGCAGGGGCAGACGGTTGGCATGCAGGCTCTGGTCTTGGGTTAAAGGGTATGGCTACACTGCCGCTTTTTTATTCCCTGATTCTTCTGTAGGAAATGGTTTTCCAACACTGACTGGGCCAAATGTCAGGGAAAAAACCTTTCGGAAGCCCCCTTATTCCTCGGAGAATACAGGGGTGGCCGAAAGAGCATGTTTCCACTTCTGGTTTTTTTAGTGGAAGAACAAACACGTCCCTGGATGCAGAAGAGTTTTCCTGGGATCTCTGGTATCCTGGGGAAAAAACCCTGCAGTCTAGCTGTAACCTCACTAGGTTGACAGGAGGTGTGGGCTTGGGAGTGGGAATGAGGGATTTGGGTGTAGGAAAAAGGTTGGGAAGTGCAAGCTCTGGGAGGGAATTTGGATGCAGGAGGAGATGAAGGGGATGCTGGCTCGGAGAGGAGGCTCCAGGCTGAAGAGTATTGGGCTCAGTTGTAGGGTTGGGGTACTGAGCAAGCCACAGGCTTGTGAATGTGATGGTGCATGACTTTGGGTTGGGGTATGTGAGGGGCTCAGGGCTGGGAGTAGGAAGGGCTTAGGACACAGATTTGTGGTGTGTGGATGGTGCAGAAGTGTTGTGGCAGAAGACTGGGGATGTAGGGGTGCACGAGTTTGGGGATGAGAGGCTCAGGACAGGGGGTTCCAGTGTATGATAGGTTCTGATTTGGAGAGTGGTACAGGAGTCTTATGGTTCTGTGGCCAGATAGGAGCTTGGTCCCAATTAGGGGTTTGTTGGCCAGGCTTCATTTTTAAATAAAATATTATGTCAAGCACAAAGTTTCAGTGTTGTCTTTATTTATGAGAAGGGCAAGGACCCTGTTTTGAGTTAGACTTACAAAAAAGTCAGTTGGGGCCACACAAGTGAGATGCAAAAAAATAACTCTTCCAACTCCTCCCACCCAAGCCTCACTAATGTGGCCTCAACTGTGCTGGTGGGAGCAGGGGACATGGTACTGGGGAAGGGTGCTTGGGACCGGGATGGGGTGCCAGTGGAGGCAGGGGACAGGGTGCTAGTGGATGCTGCAGCAAGGAACGGAGTGTTGGTGGGGTCAGGGAACAGGGAGTCCCTGGCACTTGCTGCCTCTGAGGACTCCTCTTCACCTACCCCTCTCCATCCTCCCTGCTGGGGAAGCACAGCCTAGCGCATGCCTGCTCTGGGGGCAACTCCTCCCTCCCCCGCAGGGGAAGCTCGTCCCAGCATGCGCTGCCTCCAGGGACTCCTATGGCCTCTCCCCCCCCCCTTCCCCCCAGCCCCTGTCATGCCACAGTCCTGGGTCTGGTACCTTGCCGACTGTTTGGGGGAGGGGGAGCAGCCAGCACACTTCCTGAAACCCTGGAAGTGGCGTGCAGCTGCGGGACTTCCGTCCACCCTTCAAGAAGCCAGTGCTACCTCCATTGTCACTGGAGGTAGGCAATGGGGCTTCTTGGGGGTGGGAAGAAATGGGGGGGGGCGAATGCCTCAACAGACTGGTCAGACCTCTCTGATCGACCAGTCGATTGCGATCAACTGGTTGGTGACCATGGACTTAGATGCTTAAACAGTAGCTCTTTAGGAATATGCAGTTAACAAACCATTTCTGTTGGCAGTGTGACACTGAATACCGATCATGGGGATATCTTGGTGGATTATTCGAAGAACCTTGTTACAGAAGAAGTCATGAAGATGCTGATAGGACTGGTAATTCTTTACATTCACCTCGATCTAATAAAAATGAAAAGTTGTAGAAAAATGTAGCGCCATGTAGCGCCAACTCAGATGGTTCTAACACAGGACATTAACGTCCAGTTCATCAAGGCAATTTGAGTGCCTACTGAAAACCTAAATACTTTTGAGAGATTGGCTGAAGTTCTCTTCCATCTTAACAAGGAGTTGGTAAGCACTGAGCCCATGAATCTTGCAGACAATGATAGGGCTGTTTTTCACTGCTGTGTCTTCTGTTCAAGGCAGAGTGACCCTGTCAAGAGCTATTCTAACAAAGCCTCTTCATTTGGCCATGAGCTCCACCTCCCTACCCACCTCAGGAGCCTTTTAGCTGTGTAGCTGAGCCACCGGTCTAAGATAATACCAGTGAGGTCTGCATTAACATAAGATAGGACTCCTCATAAAGTTGATAAAGGGAAGGTTATGTCACAAAAGATGTCCCTGTCTGTGGCGCAATGGCAGAGGGCTCCTCTATGCTAGCTGGCTCAAACCACCATCACAGCCCCAATCTGTGTCTACAATGCTAATATTCACTATATAACACTGGGCCATTCTCATCTAGGGTTTATCGAACCAAAAATGTTTCTCTTGTCAATCGCATGTTTTTAAAGATAAATACATGTCTCTTAACAGCAGTTCCCAACCTTTCTTTATACTGTGGACCAGCAAACCCATTCACAAACTTGTGGTGAACTGGTATCATTTTATTTTCATAATCTTTATGCAAATAAAGTTTGTGAATGGGTTTGCCAGTTCATGGTATAAAAAACCCTCACCCCCAGAACCACCCAGTGCCAGCCGTAATCCCTAGAGCCCCCACTACCCTCCCAGTGTCAGCCCCTTGTCTCCCCAGCCTCCAGTGCCTCCTTCATCTGTCTTAACTGCCTCCAGCCACCAGCTGAGCACTGTTCCCCAGGTCACAGCTGCTCAAGGCTGCCATGCCATGCCATGCTGGACTCTGCATTGCCCTCCCACCATGCAGCAAATGGCACTTCTGCGGCTGGGAGGAGATCCTGCCTCTGACAGCTGCTGGTTGGCTGCTAGTACTTCTAAGCATGATGCATCAGATACAACTGAGTAGACAGGGATGATAAATCTGGACATCATTAAACTGAGTACTAGTAGAAATTTGGGTGAGCAGTAAAAAATTACTTTCACTCAGTTTTTTCTGTTGACTAAAATAAATAGGCTATTGATTGACGTTGAAAGATGAAACTGAGTAACTTTAGAAAGTGGAGATTTTGTCACTTTGCCTATACCACCCTCTCCCCTGCCCCCATATGTGAACATCCTTTAACTGGTCTCATTTAAAATAGGAAAACCAACTCTTACAGTTGTAAACTACTGAGTCATAGCAGCTGATAGAACTTTTGTTGTGATAGGCCTGCATTGGAAAGGCAATGATTTTTTTCCATAAGACAAACTGGCTATGTGGGAGGCGCTAGCATTTTCTGCCTTTAAGTGAATTATCTGTTTGGTTTTTTTTTACCCTTCTCAGGCGAAGTCAAGAGGTGTTGAAAATGCTAGGGAGCAAATGTTCACTGGAGAGAAGATCAACTTCACTGAGGTAAGGTTATTTCTTTGTGTGGCTCTGTCTTCTAGGTCAGTGGCTCTCAACCTTTCCATACTGCTATACCCTTTCAGGAGTCTGATTTGTCATACATATCCCCAAATTATACCTCACTTAGAAACTACAGGCTTAACAAATTCAGACCTAATACAGAAGAGTCACAGAACACTATTGCTGAAAAATTGTTTGCTTTCCCACTTTTCCTATACAATTGTGAACTAAATGAGTTGGAATATCAATATTTATTTGCATTTTAGTGTGTGGTATATGGAACAGTATAAACTAGTCATTGATGGTATGACATTTTAGTTGGTACTGACTTTGCTAGTGCTTTTTATGTTGCCTGTTGTAAAAACTAGATCAGTCTAGATGAGTTGATGTACACCCCCCCCCCCCCAAGACCTCTGCTTACCCTCATGATACACACCCCTCTGAGAACTACTGACCTAGGTTCTGCATATTTATGCAGAAGGGATGTGGGGCTAGAAATTACTACTATATGATTACTACAGGGCATTGAAATATTAAATGTGGTGATAGTGATTTATTTCCTTGCTCATGTACATCACACCATATGTGCACAGGCTCTATGGGGAAGACAAAACAAGCAAGTTATATCAGTGGCAAATGAGGTTTGGTGGAGAACTGGAGGCCCACCTTATTTACTTACTGAGCCCAAAGCTGTTGGAAGTGGAGGAAAATGGGCCAAGAGTTGATTCCTACTCTAGCTCAGTTGTGAAGGTATTCTACTAGAGAGGGAGATGGACCAACTGATGAGTTACAGAGCTCATATCCAACATGGGGCAGAGTATGACATGCAAGGTGGAACTTCTTTTGCCTCTGCTTAAGATGAATTCTGGTGAAGCTTACCAAATGGCTTACAAGAAGGTCTACTAAAAACTTTGTTGGTACTTCTGCCCTGTGCTATTGGGGATACTTATCAGTGGCAGTTATAAACCCAGTTTTTTGGAAACTAGCCACCACTAGCATATCTTGATTACTTTCACATCTAGAAAAGAGTCTCGTATCCAGATGTGCCCTTAGAGCACATTATTGCTCAGTTGGTGATGTGTGCTGTATAGGGCTTCAGTGGCATTAGATAAAACAAATTAAATAGCTATTCCATCTCCATTTTAAAAGACAATCCAGATTTTTTTTTCTACAGTGTAGCTCAACCAAGAGGGCTACCTGAAATATTAAAGGTCTTTTCGTGTTGTAGAGGTTTTCTGATGGAACTTTATTATTTGCTTAGTTTTTATTCACTATGGATGCATCTACACAGCATTGTAGGTCAAAATAAGATACTCAGTATGAGCTATGTGGATCTTATTTTGATACTTCAAAGTAGTTTATTTTGAAAGTTGGCACAGTCTACACAGCACTTATTTTGAAACAAATTGCTACTCCGAAATGTCCTTTACTCCTTGTGAAATGAGGTTTACAGGGATGTTGGAATAGCAAACCTGTTATATTTTGAAATAACAGGCATGCTCAAAAGATGCAGAGTAGCACTGCAGTGTAGACTTAGGCTATGTGAACTTGTAGAGTTGCTACTTAAATCCTTTGCTTTGAAGAGATCATCAGTTGCATTATGTTTTGCTTGAGAGTATTGAGCATTTGTGCAGGTTTTCATGTCCTGATAAAAAGTAGCATTAGAAAGGCAGTTCCTCTCCCTTTTTGTGTTAATCATTTGCATATAAAAGGACACAAGTAAGATGTCTTATCTGGAGACCAAAAAAAATAAACAATTTTAATACAAGTGCTTAAAACTTCCTTGGCTAGAATATCTACAGACCATTTTAAAACCTAAATCTTCAGAAAGCTGAAGTCTGTTTGAACTAGGGATGTAAAAGGGTAGTTAAATAGTTGACTATCCGATAAGCCTAGGACTTGAAGTGCATTGACTACTTGTATTTTCCCCCTTCCCCTTGCTGCCATTTTGAGAAAGCTAATTGCCGTGCTAGTGTATTTATTTACTGGTGCTGTGGCCACAGTGGGCTTTCCATGGCTCCCCTTGGCTGCAAACTGTACACTAGAGCCAATGGGAGCTGCAGAACTCTGTGGCTGGGGTGCTGGTAAATACACCAGTGTGGCCAGTTAGCAGCTTTCTCAAAGTGGTTTCATGGGACCACTTTGAGAAACTAGTCTAGATGAAGATTCAAATTCTTGCTTCTAATGTGAGCTGGTGGTGCAGGGCCTCTGAGTTCAGGGCACTAACCTAGAATTCTAATATAGCACACGAATATTTGGGGCCCTTTGCTCATAGCAGTGGAATAGAAAACATGCTTATTACATGATTGATACTTACTACCTATGTTTATTTATCTTTTCCTGTTCATTGGAGGGTCTGTTACTGCTGCAGTCATTGCAAAACTGCTGCAGTCATTGCAAAACTGCTAAAGTTCATACAGATAGTTTTATGATCAACTCCTATCTACAGACTTCAGGATTGAAATTAGTTCAGCAGAAGTTAATCTTACTGCATAAGTATGAATTGCCAAAATATTAGAATTGTTTATCAAAAGATAAGTTTAAACTACACTTTCAAATTCATCACCTCACTACAATCTAATGTTTGCCTAATGTTCATACTATTCTAAAATGTCTTTGGACAGTTTCCACCAACTGTGTCAAATTTGTTTAGGTGCTTGTATAACAGTGAGCATGTTAGATTGAGAGAGATGCAGGCTACTGGTCTTGGAAGACTTTCAAGTTAATAATCTCCTAGATCCTTAGATGGCAAGTATCACAGCCTTTCAAAATAAAGTATACTGCTGCCTCCTGCAGTAGTTGTGTATCTACACTGCCAAACTGTCTCAGTTAACATTTTATGGTGTTTCTCCCATGTCTTTGTCTTGTTTCAGAATCGGGCCGTGCTTCATATTGCACTGAGGAATTGCTCCAATGTTCCTATATTAGTAGATGGCAAAGATGTAGTCCCAGAAGTTAACAAAGTGTTAGACAAGATGAAGCACTTCTGTCAGGTAAGTCCATAGTTAATTGCTGTTAAACCTGTGTAAGTTACATAACACTGTTGCCTCTAAGATGGACCTCTAGCACAAAACTAGTCTGAATGAAGAACTGTAGTAGCTTGCATAAACAAAACTGATCCATATCTGTACCTGCCTGTCAGGAATGGTTAATTTTTCTGAATGAAATTTTTTTTAATGGAAAAAACCTTCTGAATTGAAATGCATGCTTTTTTTGGTTTACAATAATGAACAGGAGGGAATAACATAACTTGAGTTTAGAACATATGGGCACTAATGACAGTTAGGCACCAAGCACCTAATGACTTCCCCTCTCCTTACTAATTTCATAATCACTTGGTAATATCTCATTTCCTGTAGAAATGTTTGTCTAAAGGAACTTCCCTCTTGGTTATTTCCGAACATCAGTGCAGTCAGGAGGCTCCTAGGTTACTTGTCACTTGACAGGCTCTGACAGTTCTACAGAGTATTGTAGAAGAGGGGTGTTGGATTGTTTCCATGATCTACTCTGTAATCATGTAGTCATTATCTTGAAATCTTTGAGTCTTGAATAAGGTATATGTAAGAGTCAACTCTGTTTGCAGCTTAGCAGTGTGGGAATTCTTTGGTCTGCTCTCAGCTAGTCTAAATACTTCACCTTCTGCTCTCAAATCATAAATGACTAGTGTTTCTGGGTTAGTACAACACAACCTTTAAAATGTAGGCATCTGTCAAATTCACTTTTGTAGTGATCAAGGACAGTTGGCTAGGAATAAATATGGAGAACTAAGTGGGCATTGGCTTAAGATATGGTTGAATTTCATTTGCCTGAATGCCAAAATTGGATGTCTGAGGGCTGATCAGATACACTATACTGTATATCTTAAACCTGCCAATATATAAGGAACATGCCAGTGAGGTACAGAAATGGTAATGAGGTACAACTTTACTCCTGAGGCTCAGTGTAAATCCTGTATAGATGGTAGTGATCTAAAGTAGCTATTGCTTGATGACTACAGGGTGGCCTATATTAAGAGTTTGGAGTAAATCCAGTTCCTAATGGAGAAGTGCCCAAACCAAAATAACTGACACTAATTGGCACCTTTTGTTGGCAGCCTCAGCCTACAGTTAAGAACTAAATGGACTCTTGAAGCTCTATACAGTCTTTTATCCCTTAGAAGTTCTCTCTTGATCAGGATTCAAATGTACTGGTGCTATAGCATGGGGAAGCTTCTACTGCTATCTGTTCTATACCTTTATTTGGCAAGTCAAGACTTCAATCTTCAGTGCTAGCATTTGGGCTTTTTGCATATGGACCAGGGCCCTTGTCTGAGTGACCAAAATGTTTAAACATTCTAATCTTCCCTGTGTTGGTAGAAAATAATAATTAGATATAGGCTAAATCAAGCATCCTTGAAGGCTAAAAATGTGGTTTTGTAACATGATTTTAAGAGGCCAGGAAGAGTGATTTTATTTTTAAGTACTCTGTAGCTAAGATTGCTAAAAATTGTTACATAACTGTGTACAGCTTTTATTTTTTAAATTTTCAGTAGCTGGCAGGCCAACAACAATAGAGCTGAAGCACAGAATTTATTTAGACCAATGTACAATGGAAAACCTACTTATTTTAATTAGAGGCCCAGTGCAGAACTTCAGAGCCAAATACATCTGAATCTTAAGTTTAAATGCAGACCAGAATTTAATGGGTCAGACCATCTCTTGGTATCGCATAGATTTTGAATTTGTTTCACGCTTGTTCCTTCTCCAGTATTCAAATATTCTATATAGCATTGTAATTGTAATTGCCATGATAGAACAGAGGAAGGGTTACCTGGATCTTGTATTCTGTTCTTGTAAACGTAGGCACCTGTATGCATATGAAGTATTTTGGCTGTGGTATGAGGTGATCCCTAGCCTATATGAAGTTTAACATCAGTCACGTCTCTACAGCAAGGGCCCTATTTGATCTTGTGAAAAATATGTGCAGCTCCAGTTGGATTTGAGTAAAGGGAATATGTGCATATTTAAACACTTACCTTTGCCTTTTATGTCAGTATATTTGTATCCACAATGATCAAGTCTTTTAATAACACCAAAGAAATTAGTTTTAGCTTATTGACTTAACTTTTTAGAAGTGCATTGTTAGGTTCTTAAATATTTAAAGGAGAATCTCATAGAAGCATTTGTGAAATTACTCTTCTCTGTACTTGATGTTGTAACTTGATCATTATAACTTAGTTTGTGTGTATTCATTGGTGTATTTTAACTGCAGAAAGTTCGTAGTGGAGAATGGAAGGGCTACACGGGAAAGGCAATTACTGATGTGGTCAATATTGGGATTGGTGGCTCAGATTTGGTAAGCTCTCTGGTACTGACTTCTGAATAACATTTGTGACTATTTTTGTGCTGCATAAGGGTTATGACTTAACTATATTGATGCTTTCCAGGGCCCCGTTATGGTGACTGAAGCCCTGAAACCATATTCCAAGGGAGGCCCTCGTGTCTGGTTTGTATCCAACATTGATGGTACTCACATAGCCAAAACCCTAGCTGAGCTTAACCCTGAGACAACACTCTTCATCATTGCATCTAAGGTATAGCACATATTAACACTAGCAGGTGTGTGTATGTATGTGAAAATGTATAAGCATTGCTGCCGGGGAGGTATAGTTTGGATATTGACTAACATGACAGCTAGGGTGTCTTTTTTTTTTGTTTTTCTTCTCTTCTTCCCCCCTCTTCCCCCCATCACTAGAATACATTGCCTAGGTAGGTTGTGGAACCTGATTAATGGTTAAGAGCAGGTTAGTCAAGGCAAATAATATTTAGTCCTGCCTTGAGTGTAAAGTATTAGATTAGACGACCTCTTGAGGTCTCTTTCAGTCCTATCATTCTGTGAAATGATTAATTTCTCTAGATGTTCAATGTAGTTTGTGACCAGAAACAATACTTTGAGTCAGACCCACAGAGTCTTGTCTCCTTGTGTTTATATCCCATAGATGGAATTTGTGATGCTATGTGGTCATTTCTTTAAAATTCAATATCCGGATGAGTGTTTTTTCCCCATATCTGATGCACTTTCCTATTTGCTAGAACCTAATAGATTTAATCTAATAGATCTTAACACAAAGTACAGTACATCAGTAAGATCTTAGTTAACTATTCTGTAGCTATTCTATATAGCCCCAAAGAGCCACACCACCATTGTTTTAAGGTCTGTACCAACATAAAATTGACAAGTGTGTGCCCTAAAGAACTGTTAAATATCTCCTTTCCCCTACAGTAGGTACTGTAGAAGCAAAGTCTTTTTACTTACAAATTGATAAAGTATTATGCTGGCATATCGTACAATTTCAGTTTTATTCTGTCTAGAACAGCTATTATAGTAAACTTGTAATACTCTTTGAGGTTGGCTTGCCTTAATTCACAAATTCAATGAATGGAAGGGTCTGGTCTTTACTTAGTATTTCCTAAAGAGAAATACAAACTGAAACATGCAGCTTCTGTCTTGCCCAAGGAATTTGATGGAAACAAACTTCATAGTTATATGATTGAAGTCTTCATTTTCTACAGCACTGCAGAACCTATTTAGTTTTGAAGGAGCAGTCCCTAAAGTTACCATGTGTGTAATACTGACTGTGCTTTGCTTGTAGTGTTCGTTATCTCATCTTGGCAGTAACATAAACTAGCAACTAATATATGAAGTGAGAGGGAAACTTAAAAATGACCACTGGCATTGTTTTATGAGTAATTGAGTTCAGTCTTTTATGGTTCAAAGACTCAAAATATTGCTAGATTGAAAGAGTAACAGTTCATTTTATTTACCAGACTGTAGTTAGATAATTGGATATATTTGGAAGGGGATGAATGGTATCTTTTCTCCCCCTGAACAAATGTGTGTTCTATAGCGAAATAATTTTGGTGCTAGATGGGAGTAGAATGAATGTAATATTCATCCTTAAAGCTGAAATTGTGATGGTTGAGTAAATCTGAATGGCTGAAGATGATCCTAGAAGAATTGCACAGCTGACCTTATTTGCACACTTCATTAAAGAAAACATTTTCCCTACTTTATCAGCAAAAAGGAAGTTATGGCAAAAGTCTTGCCAGAAATGAAGTAGAATAGAGTGTTCCAAATGGGAATGAAAACAAATAGCGTTAACAATCTGTGGTTGTTCCCGTTTCTTTTGAAAAGTCACCACTAGTCTGAGAGTGGAAATTCTAGTCCAAACTGCCTATACCTCCCTTCAGATATCAATTATGAGCTAAAACTGATTTTCCTGTCCCCTCTTCCCTCCCCTCAAATCTGAATACTCCTTGAATCTTCAGACCAATGTTAATGTGAAATTAGGTGATAAATATGCACCTAGAAATACTAACTTGAATGTCTCTCTGTAGGCACAGTGGGTGTACTCTTCTTGAAATTATACTGCTGCTGTCCAGTGTATAAATTTAGGATTACTCTGCTGTGTCTATCTGGAATAACGTGGTGATTTGGTAGCCTAAACTTGTTTTGCATTCCTTAAACATAATGCTGACTTAAGTTATTTTTTTTTCCACCGGGCAGACTTTCACCACCCAAGAAACTATTACCAATGCAGAAACTGCCCGAGAGTGGCTGCTTCTTTCTGCTAATGAAGTAAGTGCAATATGCTTAAGTTAAAAGTTCTAAGAGCTTTGGTGCAGAATCAGCAGCTGCTCAAACACCTACTGTACAAGTTAGCAAATGTTGGATCTGCCACATTAAACTAAAATCCATTACCACTGATTGCATATCTGATCTTAATTAGTGATGATGCCACAGACAGTTGTTTCAGTTGCACCTAAAATCCTTTGTATAAAAGTGTTTTAATAGATTGTAGCCTGTGTATCACAACCACATTTAAGTCTACCAGACTTGTGAGGTGGAGAACACTTAAGGTGCTAGTCTACATAGCAGGCCTGCACAACATATGGCCCGAGGGCTGCATGTGGCCCGCAGGGGCTCACTGCATGGCCCGTGACAACTACTGGTGGCACAGCCCCATCCGATCTGCCGGCTGGGCAGAAGAGCGGCGCGCCGCCGGGGAGGGGGAAGTGTGGTGATTCTCGCTGCTGGGCTGCCTGCGTGCAGCCCCGGCGCAAGGAGGCAGGGCCCGAGCCAGAGGGTGGGCCACTGGCAGACGCCAGGATGCTGGCGTGACATCATGATGTCATGGCCAGTGACCGCCAGATTAAAAAAGATAGAAGCCAGGTAGGGGAGTGGAAGTGGCTTGTGCTGAGGGAGGCGGGGGGCAGGTCAGGAGAAAGAGGAAGACACCAAGGGGCAGGGTGAAAGAGAAACAAATGCCAAGGGGCTAAGTGGCTCAACAAAAATTTTTACCTGTGTGTTTGGTACTTGTGGCCTGCAGCTGTGTTCTTTGGAGTAATATGGCCCTCATCACTTTCTGAGTTGTGCAGCCTGCTATATAGAATAGCCTGCAAGTACTTGCCAAGGCATTCCATCTACACCTTCAACTATAACTGTGTAGTTTTGAAATTTCAGATATTTGCTGCAGCACCTTTGAAATGCAAGTCCTTGCTGCTTTAGTTAAAACTATCTCGGATTCACCCCACTAGGTTGACTATTCATGTTATCAATATCCGGGTTTTAGAATATTTATCATGTAAAATATTTTTATAGCTGCATCTTCCTATATCAAATACTTAACCTGAATCTCTGAGTGAGGGGCTGAATTTCATACCTGTCACGTGGTGGTGAGCCATCAGAGAACCAAAGCAAAGCTCTGTTCTCCAGTGAACTTGAGGATAGCCAGGAGTATCTCTAACATAATATCAAACAGACTGAGGCTGCGCCAAAACTTGGTTCAGCAAGGTTTGATACAGACAGACCTGGTCAGCATTTTGTCCTGAAGGCTGAGTGGGCTGCTCCAGCATATTTGCTATAGACAGACCTAAACTATCTTTGATATTTTGCCTTCAGTTGGGTCAACAGACATGCTGCTGAATTTTACTATATCTGTATTCATGATAATGTCCAAGTCAAAGACAATGCAAATGCATCTGAATAGCAACAGTCAATGTTATCTTAATGCCATCTGTAGCAAATATCAAGAGTCATGACTGTAGCATGTATAAATGAGCTTTGTGGCTGATCAGCAATGAAAATCTTAGCAGAATTCTGTTTAACAAATTTTATATTTTATTTTTGTATTAAAGCCTTCTGCTGTGGCCAAGCATTTTGTTGCATTGTCTACCAATGGTGTAAGTATAACACTATATAACATGCTATAGGTTCTAAAAAAGGACTTAGTTAAAATCTAGTAATGTATGGAAATGTGGTGGTGGTGGTGGTATAAAACAATCCCCCATGCTTTCAAGGTCATCTTGCTGATGAAAAGAGATCCTTCTCTCTTTCTTATGTAAGGGTACGTCTACACAGCAGGGCTCAACTCAAAATAAGCTATGTAAATTGAGTTACGTCCATTGCAGAGCTCATTCTGAAATTGTGAGCCTCTACACAGCACTTACTTCAAAGTAGAGCACTCTTCCTCCGACTTCCCTTACTCCTTGTACAATGAGTGTTACAGGAGTTGGAGTAAGAAGTCATCCAGCTTGACAGTATTTCAGCATTATTTCAAAATAACTGCCTGCTATGTAGACATGGACTAAGAGAAGAATATCCCGGTAGTTGATTATGGGGAAAATCCAGTCCCCAAAGGACTATCAGATAATTATCTAGCATAGAAAGTATTGCCCAGAGATCTTTTATATGTTTGTGGGTTTTTTTTTTTATTTTAGATCAGACTTGTAAAAAATCTGATTTGCAGATCAAATGACGGCCACATTCTTAACAAAGAGTACATCTTCTAGCTTAAATAGTCAGGTACTCTTGGGTGGAAAAGTCTTGGGCCTAAGGGGATTTTAAGCACCGTTTGGTTACGTTCTGCAATGATGAAAGTAAGCCATTACATGTAAGTAGTGTCTCACATGCCCCAAATGCCAGTGTGTGCAGTGAAAATTTGCATTCTTAAAGGGGTTGTAATGCAGGAATTAGTAAGACCTATAATAAGATGAGGTCTGCATTTACCACAAAGCCCTTCTGCGAGTTGGTTTAAACTTCCTTTCTCTCATCCCATTCCTCCATTTTGTTCCTGCTGTGTGTAAGCTATTCATTTTGCACAATACTGCCACTTGCATTCATTACACTACTTATAGTTATAAATTTTCTGATCAATTTACTCCACTAAATTTAAACTACTTGTCTTGGGACCACTGACAGATGGTATATTGACCAGGAGGAATGCAAGATCAATCATGGCTTATTTTCCAGTGGAGGCTTTAAATTTCAATCCAGAGTTAGGAAGATGAAGTTAGGAAGATGTGCATGGAGGAGGGTGTACTTCAGTTATATTGGGAATACTATCTTTAAGCACACTAACTTTAGCTATATAAGCATCCTCAAGTTGCTGTTTGTCATCTGTGTTCTCTAACGTGAATGTACTCATCCATTTTATTTTTTTATTCTAGCCTAAAGTTAAAGACTTTGGAATTGACACTGAGAATATGTTTGAATTTTGGGATGTAAGTAAATGTTTAATCCTTAGCACCCAAGTGCTAGTTTTTCTGCTTCAGAAAAGCCAAATTAAAAGGTCAATATCCTGTCAAAAAGTGGAGGTACTAAAATAAACCACTACTGCTTTAAGGCAATAAAGTTAGGATTCTTCTAATGTTCCTTCAATTTGATGTTACTACTGCTTTAAGGCAATAAAGTTAGGATTCTTCTAATGTAACATCAAATTGAAGGAACATGTCAAACTAGTAAAATAAATTTAGTTTAATGCCTATCAAAGGTCAGAAGAGGAGCTTTCTGTATACAGTGCTGTCTAGACAGCTGTTGAGTAACAGGAGATAGCTCATGGCTCCCAGTGTAGGTCTTACAAGTAGTTATTATAAGCCATGACATTTGACTGTTGCACTGTACTGTATATAATTTAGATCAGTAAAGGTCAAATATCAAAAACCAGAATCTGATATAGTAAAGACCCAAACTTTTATAAGTACAGTGAACCTTAATCTCAGACCTTGTGGGAAATTAATTTCTGAATTATGCTGGAAAACAGACATTTGTTTATTACATGCCTGACAGAACTTAAAATCAAACTTTAAATATGCTGTTGAACCTATGACAGCTGTTAACTTTCAGGTGGGTTTAAGTCCTTTAACAAGGAATCTTAAACTTTCTATCCTAGCTAGCCTTTTAGTGTTTTGTGACCTACTGCCTCTCCTAGTTGCAGTGCCTTTGCATTGCCATAGTTGACACAAGCAATTTTCTTACAAGCACAAATAATATTTGACACAAGACTGCAGATAGGCATATTTAGCTGCCTTTAATACAGGTTCAGAGTTGGGAGTGAGGTGGAAGCTAATCCTGTGATCTGCCACAAGCTTTGATGTCATTGACTGACAGTCTCCAAACACATGCTGTTGCCTCCAAATGGATGCACATACAACATTCAAAGTATGGTTTGCTGAGACTCTCTAGAAAGATTTTTAAGGAATGGCCTTCTTTCACTTTAGATATATTAAGATTTTATTAAAGAAGTGCCTTTCTTCCCCCCTACAGATACAACAGCACTGATGCCCATAAATAGGCCATGGACAGAGCCCCACATTTCCAAAATGCGATTCTGTAAAAATGACATGGAACTATATTTTGGTTTTAACACAAAGGAGCTTATTCTGGAACTTTTAAATAAAGTTGTCTGCCGCTTTTTTCCGGCTTGTAGAAAAGCTGGAAAAGAGCGTCTAGACTGGCCCGATCCTCCGGAATAAAGCCCTATTCCGGAGGATCTCTTATTCCTACTTCAAAGTATTTAAATCTCGCGGGGGATATTTAAATCCCCCGCGGATTTCCCATATTACGAAGTTTAAAATTAGCATGCCCCTTTCGGAAAAGGGGCCAGTGTAGACGCAGCCCTAAAGTATAGCTGCCTTATGGCTCTGTTACACTAAACCCATTCCCAGAGATGGTCTGGCTTGTGTAGTTGGGTGTGCAGAACTAGGAAGTACATGATCTCCATCCTGTAGTAAAATGCTTGTGTTCTGAAGTGAAAAAAGAGTGTTAGCTCTAAAGAGTGCAGTATGAGAGGAGTTACTAAAACTTTTTGCAATTGTTAAAACATAGAATTCCACATGTAAAGATACTGCAATCTAAAACAATCTCTTATTTACAGTGGGTTGGTGGCCGCTACTCATTGTGGTCAGCCATTGGTCTCTCCATTGCTCTGCATGTTGGTATGTATCCATGTTCTATAAAATAGTCAACATAGCTTGCATGATCAGTGGTGGGATTTAGTACATTCCATGTGTGTAAAATTATGGATATTTGCAGATCAGATATTTGCCGGGGAGGGAGACACCAATGGTGGTGTTCTATCTAAATTCTAATCACACTAGATAGATGTTCCTGCTAAAATGATCCACAGCGAAATAGATACTGTTTCTTTAAATAGTCTACTGAAATCCAAACTTCTGAAACTGCACCCACAAATTTGCCATGGATTAAAATGGCCAGCCATATACTTTGGCCATTTGCATGGTCAAATATTTTTCTTTTGTACAAAATCAGTCGTCTTCAATTTATTTTCTAAAAACTAAAATGTCCTGGACATGGAGACTATTGAGTACTGGGTGTTGCAGTATGTGAAATACTCTGTTGCTGTGTAAAAAAATAAATAAATGGATTTCTTCTATTTTTAAATAAGCGGTTGATGGACCACTCAGGCAAGCAAAAGGGTACAGTACTTCATTTATCTGAAAGCAGATTTAGGTTGCTAGAATACTGATTCAGCTGCATTATTAGCTCTTTGCATAGAACTGCTTTTGCAGATTACTGAACCAAGTTACTGCTTTCATTGCCTGCTCAAATTGCTCCCCCTTCAGAGTTTTAAACTGAAGAGGGACAGATTTATCAATTCTATAGTGTATCTGGGGGTGATTAGGATGCCAGTTTCAGTGGGTACTGATGAGTGATGTTGGTTAGCCATAATGATAGGACTGTGGTGATTTCTCTAGTTTATATAAGTTCCTTTTTTTTTCCACACTATAGGACTGTGGTGATTTCTCTAGTTTATATAAAGTTCCTTTTTTTTTTTCCACACCTGTGGTGAATGGTCTCAGTAACTCAGACTGATCAGAAAGCTATTCCTTAGTCATTCAGATGCTATCTTTGTATGCTTTCCTTTGACAGAATAAGTAACGTATGACTTTCAGGCTAAGGTTTTGAAGTATAAAAAACTTACTAAATTGAGTTCTGAAATTTTAAAGCCCAGACTTATTTAAAATTAGGTACATCCCCACCTGTGGGGCACAGAGCAGAAGTTACAAAATGTAGGAGAAATGCAGTTTTCCAATTCAATTTCACTAACAGGAAACTTTTTTGTACACGAATCTCTAGGTTGAGTTGAGACTTTAAGCTAAGGAAACTTGTAACCTATGACAGTTAACTTTTTTTTTTGGTTAGGTTTTGACAACTTTGAGAAACTTCTTGAAGGAGCCCATTGGATGGTAAATGTTAGCTCTTGTTAAATATAGTGTATCTATTTAATGTGGTACAGTGTTGCTATTAAGACTACTGGTAAAGAAACTTTTAAAGCTCAGCTGGAGAAAACTACTTGTCTTCCCTAAGTCCCTTACTGCAGTGGTTCCCAACCTTTTTTATGCTGGGGAGACTGGCAAACCCATTCACAAATTTTTTTTTTAAGACTGGTAACATTTGCATATTCATTATGTAAATAAAAATATGTAGATATGCAAAAGCCCCAACCCAGCCCCTTGCTCCCTAGTGTGTAACACCCTTTGATCACCCCCCACACTCGTATGCCCCATACCCTTTGACCCTTTAATCTCTAATCCCTACAGGCCATGCCAACACCCTCTTGTTTTGTGACCCCACCATGCCCTCATCCAACGTCCCTTTGCCCCCACCCTCTCAAGAATGAGGCTGCTCCACTAGGGATCATGACTGTTATGGCAGGTCCCCTGTCTGCGCGGCAGTTGGTGGCGCATGAGCTCCCTTCTCTTGTGCTCCCTCCCTCCCAAAGTGCTTGGGTTGATGGAGCCTTGTCTGGGCCGCTATTACTGAGGAGAGAGGGAGGTGCCTCCTGTTCTGCCAGGTCTCTGCCACCACAGCTGCCAGAGCTGAGCCACCATGAACAGCCGGCTTGAGCTCTGGAAGCCGCAGCAGCCTGTGGGCTGGTGGATGGGAACTGCCGCCTTACTGTTTCCACTGCTTTGAAAATATTTTCTGTTGGCGCTCACCTCTTATTCCCAATCTCAGATTGAAAAGTTACCATAAAAATCAATGTGGGGAGACAGTTGTACCCCCAAACTCAGAATCTGATCTCTTATTCAAGGAAGTAAATTTTTTTGGTCACACTAGTTTTCTTTCTCTCTCATCTCTTTGCTAACTAAAAGGATAAGCACTTCCGCACTGCTCCACTGGAAAAGAATGTGCCAGTTTTGCTAGCCATGCTGGGTGTCTGGTATATAAACATTTATGGCTGTGAAACCCATGCACTCCTGCCATATGACCAATATATGCACCGTTTCGCTGCTTACTTCCAGCAGGTAAGGCTCATCTTGCACAGAAGACTAAGTCTGTGCCTCCAATGCATCTGATGAAGTGGTTTTTAATCATAGAAGCTTATACACAAATAAATCTGTCCCTCTTTAAGGTGCCACAGGACCCCTCATTATTACATACACAGACGTACAAAAACAGTGCCACAGGACCCCTCATTGTTTTTGTACGTCTGTGTATGTAATAGTCTGTGTCGATAGATCACTGCCTTAGTTTGAGGTCAGGGTGCACTTTGGTTGTTACAGTAAAGAAGCTCTTTTGATGGTGACCACTGGCGCGTAATATAATGGGCCACTTCACCTGGAAATGCTATCTGTTCAATGTAGTATTTAACTGTCAAGTACCTTTTTTCCAACCTGAAGAGCTCTGTGGCTTGAAGCTTGTCTTTAGCCAGACGAAGTTGATTCAGTAAGCCTGCCTCAGTCATCTTGTGTCTTGTATATCCTGGGATTTACTCTGCTAAAAATACTGCATACAGAATATAATGGCATTTTGGAGGGTTCTTAGAGTATTATCGTGGTAACAGGCTGTATCCACATCCATCAATATAAAGGCTCATAAAGTTCCTGATGTCAGCAAACCAAACTAACTTTAAAAACCGATAAATGAAGAAAAAGTTAGGCTGTGTCTAGACTGGCCAGTTTTTCCTTGAAAATCAGATGCTTTTCCGGAAAAATTTGCCAGCTGTCTACACTGGCCGCTTGAATTTCCGCAAAACCACTGATCTCATGTAAAATTGTCAGTGTTTTTGCAGAAATATTATGCTGCTCCCATTCGGGCAAAAGTCCTTTTGCGCAAAAGGGAAGGGTAGACAGCCCAGATTTGTTTTTTCCGCAAAAAAGCCCCGATCGCGAAAATGGCGTTTGGGGCTTTTTTGCGGAAAAGCATGTCTAGAGTGGCATGGACGCTCTGTTCTGAAAATGCTTTTACGGGAAAACTTTTCCGTTAAAAGCACTTCCGGAAAATCATGCCAGTCTAGACGTAGCCTTAAAGTAAATGAAGACCGTTGTTACAGACTTAACTGTTGACTCTTCAAGGGAGGAAAATCACTGGTATATTGATTGTAAACTTCCAACTTCATTGCTTGTAGGGTGACATGGAATCTAATGGGAAATACATCACCAAGAAAGGCACTCGTGTGGACTACAATACTGGCCCTGTTGTGTGGGGTGAACCTGGAACTAATGGCCAGCATGCCTTTTATCAGCTCATTCATCAAGGTACAGCCCTTAACACTGGTGATCACTGTGCAGAACATCTGGGTTTTGGAGGAAATTCTGAACACTAGATGCTGCAGATATTGCAGAATTGATAGTCTTGGGCAGGTTATTAGTGACTTGGTGTAGGCCTCTTACTTACCATCAGTCTGTTAAATTGTTAATTAGTGCCCTTAGAAGGCAACCTGCTCTAGTGTTGCAGCAACACAATTTGGATTTCAAAAAATTAATACTCTAATTAGAGTGGCTTGAGATTTTATAAAACATTAGCAATTTTTTGAAAAACTTTTCACTGCTTTTAGACCAACTTAGAGTGGCTGAAACGTGCCAAGTTTTGGGTGTAAAACATTTCCTGTTTGATATGAATATTTTGTATTAAAGTGTTTCTAATACTGTCTTCCCTGTAGGAACTCGTATAATCCCCTGTGACTTTCTAATCCCCGTCCAGACTCAAAATCCAATCAGAAATGGTTTACATCATAAGGTAAAACTACTTGTGCTTATAATCATTGGCACCATATTCTGAGTCACTCCTGTTGAAGAGACTAGAGTTCATTCAACACTACAGCATGTCAGAAGTCATCTGTTTTAGACACTAGACCACATTTTTAATGTCTGAGACTGCCCCCATATATAGGGTATGGCAGAAGAATCTGACTTGAGTATACAGTAATTTTGTTCCTTCAGAGCTTGTAGCTCTCCATTTTTAGAGGCAGATAAAATGTGGCCTGTTGGTGCTTAGAGTCCGGGGAAGGGGGGGGTGAGTAGCTGTTCAAGAGAACTGCAGGCTAAACTTGCATATTGTGAGGAGTCAGATTCTCAAAGGAAATGCAAATCTTGGCGGTCTGGAAAAGGTGTCCAGTTCTTTGAATAATTCAAAGATAATAAAAAGCTATTATCTTCTGAGCACTGTCTCCTATAAACCTGGATTGATTTTTTTTTTTTAAATAAAGGCTTATTGTCCCACTTAAACATAACTACAAAGTGAATGATTTTCTATTAACTAGACCTCCTAGCACCCTAAAACTAAAACTCCACTGCAATATATAACTTCTGTCCAGCAGTACAATGTTTTTATTTCACGCTTTCAATGTTGAGGAGTGTCCAACTCAAATTCCTTCCAATGCCTATTTCAAATAAAAGTTGCCAGTATTCCTCTCAAGTTCTCTAGATTTTTCTGACAAGATGTTAGAACATTGACTTCAGGCACATATTTAAAAAAAAATGTAAAGGGGAAAGTTTCACTCAGCAATTCCTAGGCACACTAAAGAATTTATATGCTAGGGTGATTGATAGGTACTGGCCAAAGCAGGACATGATCTCTGCCCTGAAGAGCTTGCAAACTCATCAATATGATGCAAAGAGGAGGTAGTGTGACCCTAAAGAAAGGAGAGGATGAACAGTAACTGCAATAAGAATGTGTGTTAAGATAGGGACTGGTATGTGGCATGACATTAAAGTTTGTCTTAGTTCATGGATTTCTCAGCTGGCTAACTATCAGTCTTTGGGAAAGGCTGGTGACTAGATGGGTAATCAGATTAAGAATGTGCCCGTTGCATGGAAGAAAATGCAGACACTCTTGTATTTCACCACTTTCATCCACTTTTTACAAGTAGCGCTACTGAGGTAGGATCCTCTGCTGTGGTTGTGGTGATTTGAGGGCAAAATCCTGGCCTCACTGAAGTTAGATTTCACCCCAAATCTTTAAATGTGCCTTTGCTGAGATCCATGATACTAAAGCCTTCAGATACACTTGGTGGAAGAACAGTATTGAACCGTGTTCCCCATTTTTCATTCTAAGTGACTTGTCTGAGGTTGTGCAACCTGGAAGAGAATCTAGGCATCCTGATGCAATCTTGGGTGCTAAGCACTAAATAGTGCTCACTCTGCATTAACTAGAAAAGCTGTCATTTGACTGGCTTATTAATATTTAACCTCTTCCCTTTAGATCCTTCTGGCCAACTTTCTTGCTCAGACTGAGGCCTTGATGAAAGGAAAGACTGCTGATGAGGCTCGGAAAGAATTGAAGGCTACTGGGCTTAGTGGAGATGCTCTGGAGAAACTTCTTCCACATAAGGTATCCATAGCTGTCACTGTTTTGGTCAGTGTGTACCACAGTGAATGCGGTGAATATTACTAAAATGGTTACACGGAGTAGATTGGGTGCCCTCTGCTGGCAGATGGCTGGACATGAGCAGCAGTGAGTTGCAAATGTTGAATCTTTAGAGATTCAGTGACTGACTTGGGAGGTACTTTTATGGGACAAATTTCTTTTAAAAAAAAATACAACTCTGTCGTTGTTATGCTAGAACACTGCTACCTTGTAAAAATACAACTCTGTCGTTGTTATGCTAGAACACTACCTTGCAGCATTTCCCAGAAAGTACAGGTTTCTGGAGTTTTACCTGGAAAAGCCTGCACTTGCTGTCTATCCCAATAGCCTTGAATGTTGAGTCTAAAATCTAGGCCCAAACAGGACCCAAGTGCAAGAGGGCAAAATTGTTTTCAACCTGACTTTTATACCATACCCCCCATAGTCCGCACCATTGCTGCCTTTTGCCCATTGGGTCAATGCAGGGACATGTGCATGTGCCCTGCAGCCTCCTGCTCTGCCTACTGCAGAATGAGGCACTGCCACTCCTTGGCACACTTTGAGCAGCACAGAGTGCAGCTGGGTGGCAACATCCCAATTGAACTAGGACCCAGCCCATTTGGGTTGAGTTGCATTGGGTTGCAGGGCTCTTTGCATTTGGGGATGACATTTTACCATCATTATGCTGACAAATTTATTATAATATGGCCTAAGGGGATGATCAACCAACTGAAATTGCTATTTTCTAATAGGCTTCATGTTGCTTGGCTTGTACCATCATTAATTAAAATGAAATGTGACTTGGTGCGTGACTCACTGGTACTTGGGAGAAATAGATGTGATTCTGATGAGCAACTACATTTAGGATGTAATGCTATTTTGTGTTTTGTTTTGAAAGGTCTTTGAAGGAAATCGCCCAACCAATTCCATTGTGTTCACTAAACTTACCCCGTTCATTCTGGGAGCCTTAATTGGTAAATGTCTCTCATTACTAGTAACGTTAAGTGATGCTTTCGGATGAGGCTTGCAGTTAATTCTGGTTCTGTTTTTATAGCTATGTATGAACACAAGATCTTTGTTCAAGGAGTGGTGTGGGATATTAATAGCTATGATCAGTGGGGGTAAGTATTACTAACCTGTTGAATCTCCTGTCCTTATGAATTATGGCTCTCACTTCTCATTTTTTTCTTTGATTTCTTTTTAATGAAGCACCTGTTGAATCTCCTGTCCTTATGAATTACGGCTCTCAACTTCTCACTTTTTCTTTAAGATTTCTTTTTAATGAAGTAAGGTAATTGTGTATTACTTGGGCTAGCTGTCCAACTAGACAAGTTTCTACAGTGGCTCTTACATACAGAGGAAAAACAAGTCTATTTATGGGATAGAACATCTTATCCCCTGTTAAACCCATGCATGGCATCACTGCAAAGATATAATCTTGAGGAAATATTAAGGGAATCTACTTTTATTAGCTTTTAAGAAACTGTATAGATGGAAGAGGAATAGGCATTCTCAGTAATTCCTGTGGAAATATTAGAGGTGGAGAGATGCTAGATCAAAGCTGACCAAGAAAGTTTAACAAAAAGCAATCCCTTTGAGTAAAGGGCAACCATGGATTACTTCCACATGTATGGAAACTTACACTCCTGTGAAGAAACTCTCAGGAGGAAGTAGAGGGGCTGGGATGGGTATAACCAGTTTCATCTGAATCTTAACTTCCTTTTGAAAGGGCAGTGGAAGTGGATGAGGCCCTATAAAGCCCAGGACTCCACAAGGGACTCTACTCACAGCTCTGGATCAAAAACCTTGTTCCTGTGCTCTGCTCTAAAGATTCTACTTCCTGCATTCCTCCTACAGAGCTGTGCTACCATTACATTGTTTCAAAACATTGAAGTAGAAGCTGAACAGGGGTCTCTGCAGGGTGCAATTCTGTGAGGGTAACCCATGAGGCCTGGAAAGGAGGTGATGCTGCCAGAGAGGCATGACTATATAGTCTAATAGTTAGGGCACCTATTTGGGATGTGAGAACAGGTTTCTGTCTTGTCCTACTCTTGTGTCTCTGTTTATTCAAAGTGACAAGGAGTCCTGTGGCACCTTATAGACTAACTGAAGTGTAGGAGCATAAGCTTTCGTGGGCAAAGACCCACTTCGTCAGATGCATGCATACTTTTATTCAAAGTAGAAGTGATTCAGTAAGAGACTGAGGGAGCCCCATTCAAAATATCCTGAAGCCCCTGTTTAAATCCGTTCTCCCATCAGGCAGAGGGGGAAACTGAGCCCAGGTCTCTGATCTCCATAGGGCTAAAAGTTACAGGAGATGGCATCACTGTCTCAGAATGAGGCTCTAGCCAATAGCCGTGGATCTGGTGTGGAAGAGGCATCCCACTGCATCTTCTCTTGCTTTATGGATAGTGCTAGGGCTTAGGTATGAGGTAGCCTCCGGGCACCTATAATGAAGTTGCAGTGTATATGCCTATAAACCAAAACTGTCACCTAAGCATATTTACCCTGAAGCTTGGGTCCTGAGTAAGTTTAGGCACTAGCCAAGCAAGGATGGATGGATGACAGTATCTAATCTGGGGTTTGTACCTAAATCTGTTTGTGTCTGGTTTAGTACTAACTTATTTTATTTTTTTATTTTTTTTCCTCCCCCACCGTAACCTTCAGAGTTGAACTTGGAAAGCAATTGGCTAAGAAAATTGAACCAGAACTGGATTCTGATGCTCCAGTGACCTCTCATGATGGCTCAACCAATGGGCTCATTAACTTCATCAAGACACACAAAGCTTGACCAGAAAGAATCAGACGTCACCAGTTTAACTGCCAAGCACCCAGATCAATGTTGTAGTAACTGCTTTTTAGCTAACTTTAACCAAAATAGCACTTTACACTTGGAGACCCTTAACTTGTTGCAGCTAAATCCTGTTCTGTCAAGTGTTAAGAATGAGAGCTAGTTTTGTGACACCCAGAGATTGTATAGTTGCTTTCTATTTTGTGGTTGGTTGTCAAACTGTAAAGTGCAGCTGATATGTCCCCTCACTACTTCTTCCCTCAAATTGATCACATACTAAAAGCAGAAAATAAAAGACAGTGAAATCTCCTCACCCTGTGTTTGTAAAGTGCAAACCTGATGACCCTAGCTTTACCAGTCAAATAATCTGAAACTGAGTGAACGAACTTCAATTTGTGTTCTCTTTTGAGATTGGTCTTGCTGTGACCTTAGGGATTTAGTATTAGGGGAAAACTTTCTGCAGAAATCCAACAACCCAGCATTTCAGTGTTGCTCAGATTGCATGGTATGATGCATTCTGCAAATAAGACCTGGTCATAATAGCCACTATAACCCACAGGGATTCATTGTTGCTGCTACCATGCTAAACAGACAGGGAAGGCACTGGTGGCTCTTCAGTGTTTACATTTTCAGTGAGTTACGGCTATCCCAGACAAACTGCTATTCCAAAGGGGAGGACCTACCATTCCTGATGTGACACCATTTTCAGACTTCAGAAATACTCTGGCATATTCTCATTCAAACATCTATTTCTTGTCAAGCTGCTAGAGCTTAGCATCACAGGAAAGCTGAAGGATTTTCACTTAGTATCTTTTTTAGGATCCTCCAAACAAACATAATGTAATTGTATGTTTCCTATTGAATGGGAAGCAGTCTTGATAAACAAGCCTGGAAGGTCTGTGATGGAAACTAAAATACCCATAGTCACTGTATACCATATTAATCCTAAACCCTACACATCAGACTCTGCGGGTGGCTTTCTTACAACCCCAATTTCTTCTTTACGGCTTTATAAAAGTTGCTGTGGATTTACCAAGGCATTCAATAATCAGGGATCATTTGGCAGAAATGTGCTTTGATCTAGTAGATTATTGGTATCTCCCACTATTGTAGTGGATCTGTTCTTTCCAGAGGTTTAGTACCTGCTTTTAGTACCACTCATGATGGGTGTGGGTTGAATTGTCCAGATCCTTGTACCACAAACACTTGGAAAAGATTGTTAAATTCTTGGTTAGCTTGTTTTGAGGAAACCGAAGTCTCAGGAAAGACTTGGCCAGCAGTCTTAGTCTGTTGTGCTGGCTGTCAGTCAAAGCATTCATCAGATAACATCTCCATATGTGACTTGATCAGTGAGAGCATTATATGAACGATTAGACTTTCGTACTGAACACGTTGATCTAGCTAAATAAGGTTTGTGGAAATTACATTGGTCCCAGATAAGGAACTCCTGTGCACGTTTGAAAGACCTACCTATTGGATTTGAGGACCTACAGTCCAGTCTCCAACAAACTGAAAGTAATAGACTTGCAAGTGGTGGACGTAAATCAGATCTGCTGGAGTAATTGTCTAGTACACAGAGGGGACTACAGTCCAAAGTCCAGTCTGAGAGGTAATGGCCTTGAGGTCTTTCCCCTGAAGAGTGATGCAGTCCACAAGACCAGCAGTGTTAGCTAGTCACTGTCTAGTGACAAACTCCAGAGTAGGATGAGTGGAAAATAGAGGAGCCTGGGGACTGTAGTGCCAGTAGATTTGGGTTTTGTTTTGTTTCTTTAGTTCATTATATTGCAATATCCTTGATTTCTTTATTAAAATCCACAGTTGCATAAAGGCTAAATGATTTCTACATGATCTGAAGATTGTAGTAAAGCCTTATGCTGCTAGCGGAAAGGCAAAGACTTCATAAAGAGGTCCATACCAAATGAGGTCTGTGCTAGCCTTTAGACTGTGGTTTTGGTCCCAGCCATTGGTTCAGAAGCAGACTTCAGAGTGGAGGTTGTCCTAATATTTATTTGTATTACAGTTGCTCCTATGGGCTCCATCCAGGATTGGAATCACATTGTTTTTTAATGTGTCTAACAACCTAGCACCATCTTCCCTGGAGAATTTTAAAATCTCGATAAGCAAAACATGGGGACAAAGGAAAAGAACAATATTTCCTTTTACAGAAGGGGAAAACTTCAGCATTGGGAGAGCAAATGTCTTGCCAATGTCTTGTCATGCAGAAAAATCTGTGTCCGAGCCAGGTGTACCTAAATCATTTGAGAACCAGCCAGAGCAGATTAACCACAGGGCTGTCCATCCTGAAGGCTATGTCTACATTATAGTTTGTCAGCATAACTTTTTTGTTGCTCTGGGGTGTGACTAAACCACCCAGTGATATGTTACACTAACAAGTGCTGGTATGGACAGCACTAGGTCAGTTGGAGAGCTCCCACCAACATATTTCTGCTGCTGTCACAAAGGTGGTTTTATTATGTTGATAGTACAGCTTCACTAGATATGCAGCTGCACTGTTGCAGTGCTGTCCACGTGTAGATGGCTTTATCCCGTATTGATTAGATTAATTTAATGTCTGGCTTCATGGTTTGTATTGGCTTTGATCACTTAGGCCTCAATCCTGCGAACACTTAATTGTCTCTGCTTTTGTTCAGATAAGAATTCCTATTAATTTCTGTGGGACTGTTCATGTGTAAAGGTGTGGCTCAGTCATTGGCTGTATCTCTGGTGATATATCCATGGTGCTCTGTAGGGAATGGAGGTGTTCAGTAGACACTAATCTTTGAATAGTTACAAAGTCAGAATTTAAAGATGAAGAAAAATGTTAAGTTTACAGGATATAGATTATTCCTTTCAAAAGGACAATGTTTAATATCCTTAAAGGAAACACAATCAGATTAATCTTGCATTCCCACCAGAAATACACATAGTATGGACTGAGAATGCAAACCTGTTCCTGTTTTAGCTCACATTTCAAAGTGAGGATAACAGACTGCCTGAGTGGTATTATTCTAGTAATAGCATCTTGTGGCTCTTCTGGTTGCTGCAAATTTGACTGGAATTATCAGCAAGAGGTGCTCTTAGGCATAATCTCTGGTGATCTAAAGTAACAAGGGTGGTTATATTTTTCCAATCTCTGTAGAAATAAACTTAGAATGCCAGTTATCAAGGAAATGGACAATTGTTTAATCACATTTGTTAATTTTGCATAAGACCAGGATTGCCTCAAACAGCTATAAAATCATTAAGTTCATGCAATTGCTACTATTTCTTATGAGATGCAGTCTAGCCAATTTTATCTCCTAAAGCAAGGAGGGAAGTGTAAGGTAACCTGCACCAGCCATTTTGCTGACATAGGCCAAGTCTGCACAGATGGAAAAAATGGATTCAAGCTAAGTAACTCCAGCTACGTGAACTCTGTAACTGGAGTTGATGTACCTTACATTGTTTTTGTTTGTGTTTTGTTTGTGGCAGCTCCACAGTGGGAGGTCAGCAGGAGAAACTCCAAGTTGTGGGAATGGGGGTTCACTCCTGTCATCACATCCCAAACCTCCTGCACACTCGCATCCCTCCCTGTCCTGCCCCAACCCACTCATCCCACCCCTGCATCCCTAAGGGTATTCTCCCACCCATCCTCTCCACTGCTGCAGCTGCCACCCCCCTTGTCC